ATAACAGTGTGAGGAGCCGGTCTTCACTGCGTGATAATGACCGGGTGTGGGGGTGACCGCTGTTAATGGACCGAGACGAAGTCGAGGTCCATTAACAGCGGTCACCCCCACACCCGGTCATTATCACGCAGTGAAGACCGGATCCTCATACTGTTATTCCCATTAATAAATACCTTTATAACGAAATAAACACTTAAAATGCTCCTATTTTGTGACTTTTTTTCCGGCGATATTTCCAGACTTATTTTGTGTTCATGTTCATGGGCCATATTTAAGCTTAACAGCTATAACGACGTAAACTCACCAGAAACTGCTGCCGTAGCGAAACAAATTACAACAATGTTTTCATCATATGGGGCGGATTGCAATAACCGGTCTTAAAGCTGGCTATGCGTATTAGACAGTCTAAAAGCTCGGGCTGTCAGTCAGTCTATAAGTAACACCATTGCAATGACACAGTTTAAGTAGTAAGACAGTCTTAAAATAATTAGCCTGGGTAAGGCTGGCTTAAAATGGTCTATAGTTGGGATTTTTGGAATTCACTGGTGTGTTGAATTATTCTTTCCCAATATATATATTTTTTTACAGTTGATGAGTGTTCGATAATTAAATCTTAAAATAGCAGAACACTGCTTGGAGGGAAAGTTCTCTGGGATAGAAGGGATCTTCTGGAAAAATGTAATGACACTGAGTTGTACTGCAAATACAATTTTCTGACCATAACATTTCGGAATTGACATTTGACTTTGCATGATATGAATCACACAAACCTAAAACAAAAATGTGCAGTCTCTCCAGTATTCGCCCGTAACCATGGAATGTTTGTTTGTAAATCACTACTCTAAGCGGGCTTTTTTTGCAATGGGCTAAGTTTGGTGTCTTAACCCAGACCGTCTAAGAACAATAGCCGGCTAAAATCGGACTGGTTTAGCCAGCCGACTAAGACCGCGTTATTGCAATCCGCATATCTTTACCAGCTGGGGCGGATGGCAATAACGCGGTCTAAGTCGGCTGGCTAAACCAGTCCGATTTTAGCCTGCTATTGCTCTTAGACGGTCTTGGTTAAGACACCAAACTTAGCCCATTGCAATAAGCTGGTCTTTACAAAGCCCGCTTAGAGTAATGATTCACAAACAAACATTCCATAGTTACGAGCAAATACCGGAGAGACTGCACAATTTTTTTGTAGGTTTGTGTGATTCAAATTATACGAAATCAAATCTGTCAATTCCAAGATTTTATGTTTTATGAGATTATTGCATTTAAATTGCAGTACAACTCGGTGTCATTAAAAACATTTCTAGAAGATTCCTTCTATCCTGGAGAATCCTCCCTCCAAGCAGTATTCTCTTCTTTTTTTTTTTTTAAAGATTATCACACACTGATCATCAACTGAAAAAAAAAACATGTTAGGAAAGAATAATTCAACACACCAGTGAATTCCAAAAATCCCAACTATAGACCATTTTAAGCCAGCCCTACCCAGGCTAACTATTTTAAGACTGTCTTAATACTTAGACCGTGTCATTGCAATGGTCTAACTTATAGACTGACTGACAGCCAGAGCTTGTAGACCGTCTAATGCGCATAGACAGCTTTAAGACCGGTTATTGCAATCCGCCCCAGCTGATGGAGGAAGCTAAAATCTCGTTTACACATTCCTTGTGTCCGGAATTACAAAGATGCTTGGTTTAGGAAAGGTAAATATGTCGGTGGGTGAAGTGTTTCAAAGAAAATAAATCGTAGATCTACGCTTTCGTCGTAAACATCCTCAGTATATACTGCACTGCTGTACGATGTCGTTTCAAAACTTCCTTACGCGCGCGCACGCACGCATCCCTAGCAACTGTGTTGCGTACGCGCGCGTCAGTCTCACGCGATGGGGGTTGATCGCATGTGCAGTGCTCAATTGTTAAAAGCTACCGCAGGACTGTTACTATATTTTGACCAATCATTGGCTTGCATGGGGCTGAACGGGGCTGGATCAATGCTGATTCAGGGGCCATTTATTCGCTTGATCTTTGAAGCCGGTCCATTATCACCGTTAATGACCGGCCACGTGATCGAGTCTCGACCTATCAGAAACCATCAACTCTCCAAGGTATTTATTAATATAGAATATAGAAGGTTAATATTAAGGTCTCCAGCAAGAATACTTTGTTTATTTTCAGTAGAAATGCAGGTGATTATATTCTCAAAATAATTCATGAAATCCTTATATGAAACCTGTGGAGGTTTGTATAAAACAACAATTATCATATTTTTGGATAATGTCTGTTTTAACTCAAAAAACAGTGATTCCACTGAGTTGTTTGAATAATTCAGATCACGGCGATTTTATACTGAATATCATTTTACACATAAAGGGCAACGCCATCACCATTTTTATCTGTTCTATTATTGGTAATTAGTTCATAACCCGGTAAAGAGAACCTCGTAGTAATGTCGTCTTTAAGCCATGTCTCAGAGAGACCAATAACTGAAAATTTACTGAATGATTGAAGTAGAAGTTTAAAATTATCGAAGTTTTTGGGGAGGCTTCTTATATTAAAATGAATGAATTCTAGTTTCTGGCTGCCATCAATGTTGGAAAGGGGACTACAGAAATCATTTTCGGTGGAGTAGCGACAGTGATGGGTATCTGGTACAGGTATGGCGGGGTCTATCGTATGTATATTTCTAAACTGAGGCAACTTAAAAAGTAAGGGGTCAGAAGCTGTATTCGCAGTAGTATCATCATCATTGAGATTTGCAAAATCATGAATTACGTCTTGAAATTCTGCATTGTCTAATGCATTAAATGGTAGGATGGTGGCTAAGCATGTATGGCAAAACCAGGGTTGTGAACTGTTTGATAGGTTAGTGTATTCCAGTGTAGTAAATGATGTATATTTCAAGTGAACCCAGGTATTACAAATATCGCAAAGTAGTCCACATTGATTTACTTTCACAGGACGATTACAAGATACACACGGAAACTTAACAGGCATAACGAAGTAACAGAAAACAATGTCAAAAACAATAAAAGACAAAAATTAACTGACTTAAATTAAAGTAATCTAAACACAACAACAAAGAAATGATACCGAACAAGTATTACTAACAATTAAAGAAGCAACGTAACAACTAATCGACAACAGCTACAACGTATATACAATCAAACTTACGGTCCTCCCAGGAATCGAGATGTGGCGGATCTACCAAGTCCAAAATGTCTATGGCGATTCAGGGACTGGGATGTGCTTCTTCCCGTTGATGTAGAGATCCCCGTTCCTGAAGACGGGATTCTTGCCTTCTCGGTATGCCTTTTGCATGATGTCACGCAATGATCTTTTCTTGGCGACATCAGCAGCAGGCATGTCTCTCAGCACGAAGATACCAGACTTCGCCAAGGATACCTTCATGGCTTTTGCGCGATCTAGCACTGTTTGTCTTTCTGACCGATACAGGAACTTCGCCAGAATATGCCGTGGTTTGTCTGATGCCGATTTGGGTGGTTTGCCGGTTCTGTGGGCACTCTCTATCTCCACATCTGTCATGCCGAATCGATCTGTTAGCAGTTCTTTTATCTGGTTGATTGGGATGACCGGATCTTTTGATTGTGACTCTGGTATGCTACCATCTGGCTTGCCGTTCTCGCCATTCTTTCCAGTAAAATTTGGACTCCAGATCGTCGATGGTGGATGCTGAGAAATTCAGAGATTCTTCCATGGCCTTCCGTTTGCTTTCAATCTCTGATACTCTCCCGAGTAAGACTCCTGGTTCAGGAGAGCTTTATCGACCTTCGCATTGAGGTCGGCGGCCAGGCTTCGAATTTCGCGCCTTAGACCATCAATGGCGTCGCCATTTTCGATGTTGGGCGATCTGGCTGCTGGGACAACGGATGGCGGACTTATCGAACCGTCTTGACCGGTTGAAGCCGATGAAGCCCCTTTGTCCCCTCGTCTCGGCATGATGAATTCTTGTTATCGTTCTGATAAAGACCTTGGCATCTATTGGTCACACTTGAAGTGATTTTTTTGGGACGATCCCGGGAGCTCGTTACACACACGTCCGTCTACATAGCTAACCTCCTGATCCTGCGTTAGCAAACCACGGGCATAACGGGAGTTGTTTTCTTGCCTTTCATTCTTGGCAAGTTTTACTGTCTTTATTGTTGCCCTTGCGATCCTGAAGTAGGACAGATGATTTACCCACAGTGAAATCACACTAGACGTGATATAATGTTATACAGGGTGTTTAAAAAAACAGGAAACCGAGCTTATTTTGTTGATTTCTCGGGTATGACCAATTATTTAGGAAAATGATAACCACCATCTGTTATATAACCATGTCTTCTTTTTCTTGACACCACGAACTCCATTTTACCGTCACGGATGACTGAGCACCAAGTGAGTCAGCTGACGTGCCAAAGGTGGCCTTGTACCACATGCACCTTAAAACAATTGACGGTTATCAGAGAGAGAGAGAGAGAGAGAGAGAGACTTTATCAGGAATGCGTTCACAGCAATGAGAACCAGGGGGGAGATTTGCGTTGAAAGGAATTGGGGCATTGCGCTGAAAGACAGTGGGGTTAACGGGAACAGTGATAACTCTTGATATGTTTTAGCAATTGAATAAATGACTTCGATAATGTACGTCCTGGATTTTGTTATTTTCAACATGCTGAAAACTGTCAATTGGTCTTATGGTGCATGTGGTATTAGGCCTTTTCTGGCATGTCAGTTACATTACTTGGTGCTCAGTCATCCGTGACAGTAAAATGTAGTTTGTGGTGTTAAAAAAAAGAAGACATAGTTATTTAACAGCTGGTGGTTACCATTTTCCTGAGTAATTAGTTATACTAGTCAACAAAGTAATTAGTCAACAAAGTAAGCTCGGTTTCCTTTGTTAGAAACACCCTGTATTGCTCACCATCTCCTAAACAAAATATTCTACATGCAGGTCGTGTGGAAAGCCATATCTTGTCCTGTCTCAGAGACAGTTTAGGACATGACAAGATGAATGTTACCATTGTCGAGCCGGAGGCAAGCAGCATTCAACGCTTCCACGATGAAGTTGCTAAAGAGCCTCTACGTGGCGTCAATTTCGACTGGAGATGCCAGACTTTTCAAAAATACGCGAAATCCGAAGAGGCGATGAGCGACAAGTTTCACATTATAATTTGCATCAGTAGTCTTTACTTCTTGGGAGACCTGGACGAGGTTTTGACGAATCTGTACGGCAGACTCGAGGATGGTGGTATTCTACTACTTGGGGTGTCACAAGGTGGGCCTAAATACTGACGTGCGCGCATAAATTCACCACCACGCGCGTGTGCACGAGCGCCCACGGTGCATAGATATAGAACTTAAAATAACTAGATCGGACGCGCGTTCGAACACGCCATTCACTGTGCACAAAACTTCTGGGTTTGTTATGGACGCGCTGCAAAGTCACGTGAACAGGGCCACGCGCAAAGGACAGCTGCTGAATGCTGGACGAAAAATATCGCCAACACCCCCACCTGAATTCAGCTATGCGTTGAAGTTCTTAACAACAGGTTGACATTTTTAACTACGATTTTTGACAATGTGACATTTCACATTTCTTAGGGGCCAAATTGGCGACTGTGTTGAAGGTAATTGATTTTCAGCCAAGAATACTAATTTGTACCGAAAAGTAGCCACATTGTGTTCTTATATCTTTAACAAAGGCAAATGTCAAAAGCGTACTTAAATGTCAACCTTTTTCATGAGATTTTCCCCTTTTTTTAAATGTGCAATAAAAATCAACCGTTACTTGCCTATCAGACAAAACATAAACTTTTAATTTTACCAATATCAAAATGAAATAACAGAAAATTATTTTGTACATAAGCAACGATAAGGCCAAAAAAAAGTCTCCGGTTTCTGGTATGGAGCTTGCCCAAAATGTGGTGCGGCGATTTTATTTTTTACCTGACTGTTTTGCTTCAAATATCGGCTGATGACTGCAAATGGTGCCCGACTAAACTTAGTGCAAACATGGTGCAAATGTATTGGAGCCCAGAGAGGCCACATAAAGCTTATACTCAATCATAACCCCATCTAAAAACACGTTAAAATTGTGCAGCAGCAGGATTCCAGTCAAACCAGTGAGTTTGGCGGTTTTGAGACATCATCTTTCATTGAAAAAAAAACTTTTTCATTTTGCCGACGCGCATGGCTACGGCGACGCGCGCGCATACCAGAAACCGGAGACTTTTTTTTGGCCTAAAAATGGGCACTCGAAATATTGCGTTGCTTTATAATAATAATAGCTTTATTTACAGATGGTAGCCGTATCACCTGACAGATGATTTTCAATGGGCCATCAATTAATACTGCTAACCTCAATAGGAACATTACATATGAAATGAATGGATGACTACAAAAACAAGTCTTTGGCCATCTGTTGTGAGTACTGAACAAACGAATACTTAAATAACTTTTAGGTAATAAGCACTATGAAAACTTACTCGGTAACTAATAAATAATCTGATGAAATGGCAGTTCCATATCCATATCTATTAATCAAGATGTCAAGAATATCATTGCTCATGAAAAAAATATATTTGGTTGTCACCATCCGAATTTTTATGTGAAGGTCTAGCCTATGCAACTACCAGCAGGTGAGTATTGCTTCCCATAAATTTATGAACCAGAATAAGTAATCCAATATATCTTCCTCATATGCATGAACGCTATAGAGGGCTATTCAATCTTTCAATTTCAGAGGAGCAACAATAAGACGATAGCGAAATACTAAGCGAAACTTGTTAAATTTTAGCTATGGTTCACGCACGAGGCCTAGTGATGCATGCGTGGCTAGCTATCTCCTCACTGTACGCACAGTCGGCAGTGCAATCTTCTTTCTGACGAAGACGTACGCTTTTGTCGAGCAGTGCAAACTTCTTCATCTGTTGATTGTGATTCGTTGAGCAAGGCGCAGTTTTCACAGCTCCAGTAAAGTGACTTCCAATTGCAGAATAGGAAACTGTGTTCCATCTTCGGCCGTGTCTGGAGTAACAAGTTGCTCCTCTTACAGGCCTTTTACCACCTCTCTGACGGATGATAAGATGCTAGGCCTTTAAATACATGACAGTTATTATCGATAGCCTATCCTGGCCCCAAGGGCCAAGGCTCTTTGTAATACTTCCAGGCTTCAAATGAGTCGGGTAGTCTTCAAAGATTGACGGTACGGCATCGACACGCAGACGTGTTTTCCCCCCATTCCACCTTGAAGCACTCTGCAGGGAAATGGTCGCTGCAAAGACGATCGTGCTTTGTTGGATTCCATTTGCTGCCATTTGGAATATTTCTCATTGATGTTTTCAAACCAGGAGAATGGTGCATTTTCTTTAATCACCCACATCCCACAACAAAAAGTGACTCCTAATCCTCTTTCCCCCGCGGAGTCGGACTATTATTAAAAAGCAGGAGAGGGAGGGTGATGTTAGGCCAGAAATAATTGTTATTCGATGTTCAGGATCAGGAGTACCATCTTAACTTTTAAAACAACACCCTGAAAATATTTTAAGTAGGCCCTACGCGGTTATTACAAAATTCGGAGGATCCTTTGGATCACACACGGGGGACTTTTCTCCACACCCATTCCTATGATTTATGCCCATTTGGCAATGCTTAACGAAGCCTATATGGAGTTAATTTTTATAAAAACTGTCTTGTTCGAAATGTACTCTCAAGAGATAAATTCTGCGTATTAAGTTACTCACATATGATGTTAACTTCTTGAGAGACTGTCCTCCGGGTCCCTTTCTCCGTCTTAGTTGAACTTTGCTGCCGCACAGATTGCCACCATTTTCAAGCAGTGATGGAGTACAAGTGATCGTCATGCCGAAGAAATGCGCGTTTAAATTTTTGACCCTATTCACGTGACCAATGGCAGCGTCCTGTCAAAACGCGCGTATCATACGCGCGTCCGATCTAGTTTTTTCAGTTCTATATCTATGATTCCGAATGGCTCATTTGTCAAATTTACGTGCAGTATCTGCACGCGCGAGACGTGGAACGCAAGGGCCCCATTTCACAGCGCTGCTAAGCACACAAAAAATGCTTAGCACAAAAGAGTCTTGCCTAGAAAAGCCGGCTATCAGCCAAAACTCCATGTGATTTTCATGCTAAGCAAGCAACAGGATATATCATGTTGCCAAAACTCCAGGTGATGTTTATTGCTCATGATTGCAATAAACATCACCTGGAGTTTTGGCTGGTAAACTGCTTTTACTTGACTATTTTTGTGCTAAGCAAATGTTTTGCTTAGCAGTGCCGTGAAATTGGAACTGAGCGTGAGCATGTGATCCTTGTGGCGATGCTGGGTTTTATTTATCACCTTTCACCGTTGAGTAGGTACTTGAGTAATGTTGTAGTATACACTTGTTGTCCATTACTTTTTTCCCAAGTACCGGGTACTGTCGAGTGTTTAGGTTGCCAAGTATGAGTAAGAGTACGAGTACTTGTTCTTGCGAATACGAGTATGTGTACTTGTACTTCTGAATACAGCCTTACTGCAAATGGTTCATTGTGCCTAATTGGCCAAGGCCGAGTCAGACCGATATACAGACCCACACACGACTAGCTGTTAAATGTGTTTGTCCGGACGTGCACAGAGGAAAATCAGGAATCCTCGATTTCTCCACAAGCCAATCTACCATTTTAATTGAAAGTATCGATAAAATAAGGTCGTGGTATTAGTCAAGCTATCCGCTCCGTCCACAAGTACCCCCTCACCGGCAAAGAAAGTACAGTTGGGGGTGACCGAACGACGCCATTTTACCTGACTGCAATTCATTTGCTGCGAAGCGCGGCCACTGCGCGCACATAGCACAAATCTTCTAGTGTACGTGCGTCGCACACACTCGGAACAGTGCGCGTCAACCAGCGAAATGTCCCACCCATGGGACGTCGCAACCTCGTTCCCCATGGGAACGATCGCGCTGCGCCATTTTGTTTCCCATCATGCCTTGCGCGATCCCTGGAATTGTGTAATTTAAAAAATAAAAAAATTCCAAATATGGCACATTATAATTAGGCTGCAGTTTATCCGTTTTACGTGCTGACGCCATCTTTAAAATGATAAAAGTTGGGATTTTGAAGAATCAATCCTTTCAAACATAAAGTTAGGACGTTGCGTTATGTAGTAAAGATTTGTATTAAATTAGCCCTGGTGGACTCCCTTTCCTCCCTACGTTACGGAGGGAGTCCTGAGTACACATGTGCTCACAACCGAACGAAAACATTTCTTACCAATAATTTCAATATGTTTACCTTGTTGGAGAAGCTAATTTTACGTCGTAGTATTCTATGTGTCCTTATCTGTTAGCACGCTGGGTTCAGGAATTCCATATGCGATGCTGACTGACGTCAATCAGGAAAATAAACTCGAAAGCATCGTTAAACTTGTACGTGTTTAGTCTCTTTTCATCAGTTTCTCACCGCCGAGTCTATTCTAGTCGTACATCATACCATGAACGTCTGTGCAGCGTGTAGTCTGGTTCCCTAGACCGGACAATTATTCTCGACGCTCATATCACATCTGGTCCGAGGGACAGACTATGCCGCATGAATATGCAGTGCGCACGCGCGATTTGCTTAGTAACCACCCTCATACGCATAAACAAATGAGGGCGCTAGCGTGCGTGCGCGCTTTCGGATCGTACGCACGTACATTTGTACATGTACATTGTACATGATGCATGACGTACGACTCTGGGAATAAACTGATGAAAAGAGACTACAAACACGTACAAGTTTAACGTTGCTTTTGAGTTTATTTTCCTGATTAACGTCAGTCAGCATCGCATATGGAATTCCTGAACCCAGTGGCCAATAGATAAGGATACATAGAGTATGTAGGCGTGAAATAAGCTTCTATAACGAGGTAAAACATAACAAAACTCTGGTAAAAATGTTGGGATGGTTTCATGTAGAAAAGTCTTGTCCTGGACGTTAGTCGTATTGCAATGAAGACTTCGTCCAACCTGGGCTAGTATTAAATGTACTTACCCCTTTCGTCCCTTTACAATCGAAGAGACAGGGTTTTTTTTTGGCGAAAAACGAGGCTGCCATAATCCATATCGTATACAGGCATCGCGACTTTGAATAACATTTTTTTTTTTCGTACGTGTTACCTGCAAAGCGCATTATGGGCGCGCCCGGCGTGCAATCTTCGAAATGCGCGCGCAGTACGCTGTGAAAAGCGAGCGTCATTTACGTCATCATCACGACCAGGTGTTAGTGTAAGGAACG